TGACTATCTCTAAAACTGTGGGCAGTCCACCAGGCAAACTGCCCTGGGTTGTCGAGGACCAGGGAAAATAATGGGTTGTGGAGGAGATGCATTAGGGGAAGATGAGAAGAAATCAGACCTGCCAAGTACTTGATTGAGTCCCATAGTCGGAATGTATGGGTTAATGTCGGGCTAAGGGGTGCGGGGCGATGAGCAGGGGGGAGCCATGGCAAGGAAGGTAGCGTCGGGTGGGAATCCATCAGATCTATTATTGCCCACAGAGGGATTCATGAAGATGGGATAAAGGAGCATTGTTAGCTGCATGTTTCCTTGGAACTTGTTGATTCTAGGGCGTGAAGATCCCCAAATAAATGTCAGGAGTTTTCGTTGATGAATCCTTAAAATGTGTAGGTGAACAGGAACTGGCAAGACTCGGAATGCGTATAGTATTTTTGGAAGGTAAGTCATATGGATCACATTAATTCTGCTAAACCACAACAGTGGAAAATGAGCCCAAGAAGATAATGTGACTGTCAATTTTTTAAATAAAAGGGGAAAATTGGCTTGGTTGAGTCCGTCATAGGATGGAGTGAGTCAAGGAGTCAGAACCATTCAACATTCAAAAAAAATCCTTAACAGACACACTCTCCACGTTCAGATGTGATGCTTAAAATTGAGATGAAGTGAGATTATCATTGCTCTCTCTGGAATGGCAAAGGAGAATGACAAAAGGGAATGCCCATAGAATAGAATAGGGAGCAAAATTAACCTTTCCTACAGGTGTTCCCCGAGTAGAGTATCAGATCTTCATCTGTCATCCGTTCATCCATCCTGCACGGATCCACCCGCTGCTGCCAGCTCTGCTCCACCACTTCACAGCAGGCTCTGATCCGCTTCATACCACTGGCATTTACCTCTACCACAGCTGGGTGTACTCAGGGGCCGCGACCTGGTCTCAGCCTGCTCCAAGCCCAACCCCACCATCAGGGGCTCTGGAGAATAAGCAGACTGGGGCTTAGACTCCGCGCCCTGGGAAAAACCGGCCTGTGGATCTTTAGAGTCACTGCCAGTCGGTACCTGACAAGTCCTCTCTCGATCCAGCACTATCCCTGATGGCAGCCCCATTCTTGTCTCTTTCTGCATTTGCAAGCTTCATTGAGAGCAGTGGGAGGCTCCTGTTGCTTTTAGTCAAGTCCTGTGAGGAGGGAGTTGGGAGAAGTGGCTGAGTCATGCTGTGTGTGCCTATGGATGCACACAGCCCAGCGGGGTGAACATCTGCAGGAGAGCCCCCTCAGCACACAGCTTGCTATGGAGCATAGGCAGGAGAGGAGGAGTGAACAGAGCCAGTGGGGGAGCCTCTTTTTTATATTAAAGATTTGCTTGTGGCCAGGGGCGGATTGACCATTTGGAAACTAGGGCACTGCCCGAGGGCCGGAGGTCAGTAGGGGGCCCCATGAGATGCCTCTGGTACCTTTTTCATAGTCTTTTTTGAGTTTGGGTAAGGACACAGGGGCCCCATGATCCCCTATTGCCCGTGGGCCCCATGAGTTGTCAGTCCACCCCTGCTTGTGGCCAATCACTGTGACCTGCTGAGAGGGATGAATGGAGAGGCAGGTCTTCCAGTCATCTCCCAATCCTTCATTCATAGATCAGATTTCATTTATAGAAGCTGTAGTACCAGTATCGCTTCTCGGCCTTTTGGCTAAGATCAAGTGTAGTATCTGTTCTTATCAGTGTCCAGTGGGGGTGCTCCCGGCCATTCTAGCTTTGCGGGGATGGCTGTTGTATAGTACCCTCACTGGTATGATGGGGGTCCGGAAGGCTAGTACCGGAGGGACAGAAACCAGGGAGCGCCATGATTCGTTCTGGGGCCTTGGGAGTAATTCCTCTGGGAAGACTGGAAAGACCCAGTACCTCCTGATTTGGACGGATCTACCTTGGTCTGGCCAGGGGCTGGGGACGCAAAAAGTCCGCAAACTCAGTGCCCCCTGGGGAAGACGCTCTCAGGGGTGTCACTAGTAACACTTGGGTGTGGGACCCCACAGTGTGAAGATGAGACATGGCCACTGTTTTTCACCTCTTTTTGCACAGCGCCCTAAGGACCAGGTCTTTTGGCTAAATCCAGGGCAATTTTTGCTACGGGCCTCAGGGCCTGGTCTGTGCACAATTCGGCACGGTACCACTTTTTTATTTTTTCTTTACTTTATCTTATCTTATTTATTATGCACTCCCACGTTTTGTCACTTTTTACTTTACTTATGTGTGTGTTTTTCACGGATGGAGGGTGTGGGTCCTCGGGCCTACCCTGAAGTCTAGGGGGAGGATGTGTGGCCTTTTGGTTCCTTCCTCCCCTGATCCCTAGGGGGCTTTCTCTTCGGGAGAGCCCCCTTGCCTAGTACTGGATGTCCGGCTTCGGCTGGGCATAAGGAACGGTGGTCCACCAGGCCTTTTGGCCAGGAGGACCAAATGGGAACCTTGTCCCTGTCAGGAGCTTCGTGCCCCGGGGGATCAGGGTAACGGTCCAACCCTTCCGGGGGTAGGACAAACACACCCCTAAGTGCACTTTTTCGTGTGGTGTTCGCACTTGCACATTTTTTTGTGATCACTTACGGGTTTTTCGTTGTAGTTTGCACGTTTGCGGACTTAAAAAAAAAATTAAAAAAAATCAGATTGTAAAAATGAAATTATATAGGATTATAGCTGTTTCCTTATAGAATGACAGACGAATGACCCAAAGGAATGCCCATAGAGTACAGTAGGAAGCAAACTGCATTAGACATCAAAAAAATCCTTAGCAGACATACTCTCCAAGGTCAGTGGTAATTTTTAAAATTTAGATTAAATGGGATTATCATTCCTTTCTTGTAGCATATGTCAGCTAAGGATTTATTTGATATGTCTAATGGTTCTGATGTCAAGTCACATCTTCCTTCCCATTATACTCTATGGGTATTTCATTCTGTCCTTAACCCAAGATAATTTCAAGTTTACAATCTGCCATCAATTTGGGAAACACCTGTGGGAAGACGAAAATGCTACATGGCACAGATCTCTCTGCAAATACTTTCATATGTTGTATCTGTTATACTCTATGGGCATTCCCTTCAGTCATTCCATAGAAAACAATAATCTAGGGATGCACCGAAATTTCGGTGGCCGAAACGTTTCAGCCAAAAACACCCCTTTCGGCCATTGGCCGAAATGAAAAAAAAAAACATTGATACAGGTGCCGAAAAAGCCCGCCTGCCCCTCGGTAGTTCTCAGCCTTACCTGAGAAACCATCTATCCCAACGCTGGGCATAGAGATGAATGAAGGAAAGATGGCCGCAACTCATCTCTATGCCCTTGGAGGACCGGAGCAATGTCACTTCTGGTTCTGGCCATTTTCTTTTTTTTAAAGCCCTAGATCAATGCTTTTTTTGATCCAATTCTTTACACTGTAGAGGAGAGATGTGGGGTCTTATTGACCCCATATCTCTCCATAAAGAGGACCTGTCACTAATTATTGCTATCACAAGGGATGCATGCATTCCTTGTGATAAGAATAAAAGTGTTAAAAATTTTTTTTAAAGGGACAGTGCAGTGCGAGGCACAGTCCCCCCGTGCTCACACATAGTAGTGAACGCATACGTAGGCATTGTACAAAAAATTTGGGGTATATTTTTTTTTGTTTTTTAAATGTGTATTTTTTTCCAAAAAATATATATTCATTTTTAAAAACTGCACATTTCGGTTTTGGTTTTCGGCCAAGTGCATTTCGAATTTTCGTTTTCGGCACCAGAATTTTCATTTCGGTGCACCACTACAATAATCCCACCTAATTTCAATTTTGATCATGGTCACTGAATTTATGGAGTATGTTTGCTAAGCATTGATGTGATATATCCAGTGGCGTCCCGAGGCAGGTGCGGCCTGCACCAGGGTGACACCGACCGCACGGTGTGACACCGGACCCGCTGCACGAAAAGGTAAATTGTAAAGCAAGCCGACGATCCCCGCAGGATGGATCCGATCCATCCTGCGGGGATCGCTGACTTTCTTTACAACTTACCTTTTTGTGGAGCGGGTCCGGTGTTACCCCGTATAGGTTGCATGCCAACGATCCCCACAGGATGGATCAGATCTGCGGATTGGGGAGCATAATGGTTCAGAGTCTGATCCATTATGCTCAATCTGCAGATGTGATCCATCCTGTGGGGATCGCCGACTTTCTTTACAACTTACCTTTTTGTGGAGCGGGTCCGGTGTTACCCCCCGTATAAGTTGCATGCCGACGATCCCCACAGGATAGATCGGATCTGCGGATTGGGGAGCATAATAGATTGGAGTCTGATCCATTATGCTCAATCTGATCCATTCTGCGGGGATCGTCGGAGGGGGTGTCGACAAGTGTTACCACACCAGGTGACACCAACCCTAGGGACAGCCCTGGATATATCTAATGACTCCAGGTGACACCTTGCTTCCCATTATACTCTGTGGGCATTTCCTTGTGTCATTTATCTGTCATTCCCCAGAAAACAGCTATATTCCCACATCATCTCAATCTTACACTCTGCTGTTTCTCAGATTTGCCTGCAAATGAGTTTATATTTTGTTTTCCATTATTCTCTATGGTTCCAGCATTGTCTATGGGCACTCCATTCTGTCACTGCTTTTATTATGCCCTTCTATTGACACTTCTAGCTCTGTAAAGACGTGAAGACCGGGCTCCAATGGAAGACATAGAGGTGAACTCGCTGTAATATACTACGGCCAGCTCCGCCCTCACACACTGCGCTGTCACCTCAGAAACACTCTCCCTGTAACGAGGTGACAACTCATTGCAGCTTCTCGCCTTGTGCTCCTCATCGTCCATAGAAGTCTGAGCACAGACACACCCACCCAGCACTCCGCCCCCTCAGCCAATCACTGCGCACTGACGTTATTTATTCTGCGCCGGTCGCAGTGCTCTGTTGCTATGGTTTCTGTAGTCTCCGGCCTGGTCCTGTGTGGTCTCGGTTGAACTCTCCATCGGAATAATGGCGACTCGGAAGGCGGTGGCGAGCGAGTCGGGCTATGAGGGGGCGCTGCGGGGGATTGTGCAGGCGCTGCGCGGATGTGCGGAGAAGGTGAGCTCCGGAGCCCGGGCTTGTTCTATCTCACCCCATCCTTCGTCTGTGGACAATGGCAGCCTGCCGGGGGGCTTAGCTTTATATGCTGACCTCTGGTGTCCCAGTGGGGTGTTCTAGTGCTGCCCCTTTATATCTACATTAGCAATGGTTGTCGCTCAGTGTTTTCTACTTGTGGCCCATTGAGAGACTCACTGACTGTTCAGGAAACCCCTCACATTCACACTTTCATGGAGGTCTACAGAAAACAACTGTTCACACTTAAAGCGGAACATCACCCAAAAGGGGAGTTCCGCTTTTCCTCCTCCTATATGTGCAATGTGGGTTCTTTTGGTGGGTACCTGACTCTGACAGGTATCTGCGCCCACTGCCTCCCCCCGCAGCCATTTGGGACACCTCACAGGTGAGGAGATTGCAGGACCATTCACGGGTAGCAGTGTGGCTCGCACATGTGCAGTGATCAGCTGGCTGTGAAGATGCCCACAGTTAAGATGCCAGTGGCTTGATCCAAAGACCAGCAAAAGCCAGGTCAGATGAGGACATCACTGGATCCCGAGACAGTTAAAGTGGTTCTAAAGGCTCAGGATTTTTTACCTTCATGCATGAACGTAGAAAACCCTGTGTGTAGCAGCCCCCCCAGTACTTACCTGAACCTCCTCTTGATCCAGCGATGTCCACAAGAACCTCGGACTCTCACTCCTGATTGGCTGAGGCAGCAGCGGGAGCCAGTGGCACTGTATTACTCTGGGGAGGTGATCAGGATTTGAAAAAAATAAATAAAATTTCACACGCTGCTGTTAACGTTTTTTATGAATGTAATCCATTCAGTCAGTGTGCACTACTGTGATTACATGTCACAGTTAATCACATGTTACATATGGACTGCGTTTACCATGGGATCACTGCGACCAATCACAGAGATCAACACAATAGTACACAATGAATGGGCATGTATGGAAGCTGTTCATTGTGCACAATTGTCATGTGATCTGCGGTGATGACTCAGTGATCAAATGGTACTGGCAGCTGCTGGTACACCAATCTGTCATCCGCAGGGCACAGTGAGTAGCAGATTATGCAGCAGCACTTGTCATGGGGCACGCGTGAGGTGCGATCCTTGAAGGATGTCCTATGACGTCCACCCAGGATGGTAGCACTCCCGTTCGGCTGTCAATTGACTATAGGTTGGGTGATAGAAGGTTAGAAAGAAAAAAAATCACTTTAATGAACAGCCCAATGTCATGCCTAGACTTGAGGATAGTTGCCTGATCTGGCTGAAATTAGTCAGACTAGGTGACACTAATCTTGGTGACCATCTCTGTGTGTATCTTAAAGGGTACCTATGCTTATGAAGCAGCCAAAACAAAAACATGGACCTCAGATGACACAATCTAAATAAAGTAACCACGTACCGCAGAGAGGCATTCATATTTTTTTTTATTGCCACTGCCTGCTTGGAGGCTAGGTAGTGTTTACAGCCTGTGGCATTCTTGGTTTGTTCCATTATGGTACACGCACTCACACACACCCACTCCTTGGCTGTAGAACATAGTCATCAGTCTTGGTACACATGCCATGTTTGGAGTGGAGGCAGCCAGTATGTAACCTGTCTGAAAACTCCTAGTATGTTGCTGATGTTGAGCTAACGTGGATGTTGAATTGAAATAAGATTTGTGAACTTTACTTTGTAAACACTGGATATGGTGCTATATACATTTTTTTATATTTCTATAATACACTTTATGATTTTATGAATTTACTTTGTGGTATCATATTCTATATGCCCAGAAAGAAATCCAAAGTTTTTTTCTTTTAAAAAAAAAAAAAATGTGTATATATATATCTCTTCACCCTTTAAATATGTTCACCCTTTAAAGGAGAAGAACAGTCAAAGCTTGTCTGGCTGTACTTCACCTGTGGATCACAGGAGTGCAATTCATTCTGCACTCCTGTGACCCGTTTTCAGTCAACCGCGGGTAGGTCCAGACTGGGAAAGGATTGCAACTATATGGTCAGGATCCACCCCAGAGTCTGGACCAGCACATGGCTCAGCCTCTCTGTAATTCACTAAGTATAATTTCTAAAAAAAAAAAAAAAAAAAAACAAAACTTCTCTTTTAACAATCTTAGGACCCATAAGTAGAATGTAGGGATGCATTGAGCACCCCAAAGGTTTTCTATACTTGGAGCTAGATTACTTTTAAACCAGTGGTATTTGATAGCCTGTGCATTTATTTTTTGCTCTATAAAAAAAAAAAAAAACCATAGACCATTTTGAGAAAAAAAAACAATATTTCTGACTTTTTGCTATTAAACCTGTCCAGTAAAAAATTTTATTTAAAAAAAATTAGTTTTGTCATAAATTTAGGCCAATATGTATTCTGCTACATGTCTTTGCTACAAAAATTCCCAAAACGTGTAAATTGGTTTACGTGAAAGTTATAGCATTTACAAATGGCGGTATATATATCCTGGAATTTAATTTGTTTTTTTTTACTAGTAATGGTGGCGATCAGCGACTTATGGCAGGACTGCGCCGGGCATTCTGACACTGGAGGGAACTGACTTGGTGTCACTGGCATCCCCAGTGACACCAATACAGCTATCAGTGCTGAAAAAAAACCCCACTGACACTGTACTAATGCCACTGGGCAGGAAGGGGTTAACTGTGTGCTGGGTGTGTTTTATTATGGGGTTTTATGCTTGTGCTTCACTGTAAGCACACTGCTTTGTATGGCTGTGCTTTGCACAGCCATGCAAAGCAGTGTGCACGAGCTGACAGGGAGGAGGACTGTTTTGTTTACAAACAGTTCTCCTCCCCGTCGAAGATCTTTGGCAATCACCGGGCGCTGGTGAGTAATCACTGGGCGAGACCCGGTGATTGACAGTCGCAGCCGTAAATGGCAGCTTGGGTAGGGTGCACGTGCGCTTCGGGTGCACCACCAACTCGGAAATGCAAAATCAAGTATATATACGTGATTTTGCACACCCGTGCTGCTCTGAAGCAGTATTTCTGGCGGTAAGCTGTTAAAAAAAAAAAAAAACAAAAAAAAAAACATTACACTAAAAACAAGATTGTTATGAGTTCTGTCAAAGTGCTAATTATACAGAAACTGAGATGTGTAACGCCTATTTAACTGCTGTGTAGCCTAGTGCTAGTCACACTTGTAGGAAAGAGAAATCACAAAATGACAGTATTTTCCTTGTATGACGTTACTGGACAGTAACCAACTCAGTCTGGAAAAATATAGCTGTACCTAAACTTCAAGTTGTGTTTTTAAAATGCATAAGCAGTTTTAATTTACATTTTCTGCACTGCAGACATATAATAGCTAAAAATCAGAAACCACTGCAAAAGGCAGCTTCTAAATGTCAAACCGTTGAAAGGAATGTACATCCAGATAATCCTTCATGCTGTATTTGCTTTGGTCTGAAGGTATTCTCTACACTGTAGCCAAGCCCATAAAGGTGTGGCCTGGTCTGGCAGTTTGTGATCTCCAGTGATTACATAAGCACAGTACAGCAGAGGACTCATGATTTGTCTTCAGGCACCTAGAATGACCCTGTCAGCACAGTTGTTTATATAGAATTGCAAACTTTCTAAAAGACGATTCGCTATACTTGCGTTTCTGGTGGTATTGTTGAAACAATACTCCTCTTTTGTTGTCCTGTCCTGGTCTGCAGTTCCAATGCAAAATGCCAGTATGATGAATATATACAGTACAGCACTTCCACTAGCCTGGGCTTGTGGTCACATTTATAGGGAAAAAAGTCCTAATTTATGGCTCTTGGCACCATAGATATTGAATCCAGGGTAAATATGGAGGTAATGTCTTAAGCCTAGTTAAACCCAGCGGGCTGAATGAAGAAAAACTTGGAAGTTGCCTTACTATGTGATGTTAGTACAATGATCTCCCCCGCTGATCTATTCTTACAAGGAAACTGCCCCCCCGCCAGAACACACTGATCCGCATTCGTCTCCCACTACCTTTGGCTGCTAGTGCTGGTCAGATGCTGGTTTTCCAGCATGTCCCTTCAACCAAAAACTGGTCGTTGGACTGGCTTCTGTTGGACAGGCAGCTGTACACACTGTCCGAATGACGGCCATTTTCTGCTGAACCGGCTGATATTCAGACAGTGTGCCCAGTACCTAGCATTACGTGTCAGTCCTGTTCTGAATGTAAGCAATACAATTTGCAGTGACCAGGTGGGTCTCTTTATAATTCTTGAAGCATAGTACAAGAAAAAAAATAGATGTGTTGGGTTATATTTGCAACATTGTATTTTGTCCCTGGATCTAGTAACAGACCTAATATTCTTAAATATAAATAAATGTTTTTACTTGTGTTTAGTATGTATACTGTAACAACATAATGGTTCGGTGCAATGAACAGTTGTTGCTGTTCAGGGGCAAAGCCTTGTACACACAATGAGAAAATTGGACCAGTGATTGTCCAATTTTTCCACGACAGTGTGTATCATTCTGTAACCAAGAATGATCTAAAAGTGTTACTGAACTAAAAAAAAAAAAAGTTTCATTAAAATAGCAAAGATGTTATATTCACCTGCTCTGTGTAGTGGTATTGCACAGAACAGCCCTGATCTTCCTCTTCTCAGGTACCCGCTGGGGGTCTTGGCTCCTCTTTTTCATGTGTCCCCATAGCAAGCCATTTGCTATGGAGGCACTCAGTGTCTGCATGCTCCCGAGCTGTCTATGGAGCTGTGCAAGACCCCCATGGGATGCTGATCCTCTGGCATTGAGCACCTTTGATGTTTGTTGGCCCTTAGGGGTCACAGCGTGGAGGTGAAGAGGCAATTTAGCCGGTGGAGGATTTTTGTCAAGCTGATCACTCACACTATCACCTATCAAATTTATGTGGGAATTTATTATCAGACTTTACACACATTAGCTGATCGTGGACTTTTACATCTTTTTTTTTTTTTTTTTTTTTTTTTTTTTTTTTTTTTTGTGTTTTATACACATTGTTGTGTTATAGTGATTTGTTTGTTTTTGGGTTCACCTGTTCACTCATTATTCATTTCTGACATTCATGTCATCCATATATATTTATTTCTGAATATTCACAGTCGCACATTACTATTTGTTTTTGTGGACCCATGTGCTGATTTTCACCATACGGTATAATATATATTGTATTAATTTTTTCACTATTTCGCTTCTATTCCATTGACTCAATTTTTTTTTAGTACAATCATAGCACATCACTTTGTCCACCACCTTCATTGAGGACGTGTTCTCTGTTATGTTGCTTTATATATGACAGTGTACCTGTGTTATTTATGCTGTGGTTTCACATTTTATTATTGATTTGGTGGGTATCCACCTTTTTTTCTCTCCATTTTTTTTTTCACTTATTTAGTTAGATTCCATGTGATTAGCACAGCACCCCCCCTCTATGTACTAACATAGCTTGATTATTGTCACAGAAAAAAATAGGCTACTGTTCACTCTTTGTAGCTTTTTAATGATTTAGAATATGAATGTTCTTTCTTGTGTATGATTGTTATTTTTGTTGCCATCTTATAGATTGTTGTTTCTAATCATGTACTGTATCTTTTCGATTACTTTAGTACGATTTTTGTAAAAATTGAAAGAAAATCGGGTGTCATGTTAACGAACGAGAGAAAACAGAGAAAAGTGAAGTGTTTTAAACCAAAGGCAGGAGAGGAGAGGGATAGAAATTGACTTCATATAATTTACATTACTGTTCTTATATGAATTAGAATGGTTTTAAAGTGATAGTAAAGGTTCGACTTTTTTTTTTTAATAACAAGCCTGTCATACATACCTCGATCCTCTTTTTCTTGGTCCCCCATCGGCGCTCTTTGCTCCTTCCCCTTGACCGGAGCAATAGCAAGATGCTTGCTATAGTGGCACTGATGCTTGCTCAATAAATAAAACAAAAAATTATGCTTTGCTACTCAATCCTATAGTGAGAAACCAATAGCCAAAATACTAACCGTCAACTCCAAATCAAAAAGTGAAGAAAAACTCAATCAACACCCGGCTGAGCACCTCTCACTATGACACTACAGTGAATAAACATGTATATATCCCATATATCAGATAACCTGAAGAGATAAACATAAAAGATATAGAGAAAAATAGTATATCCTGAATAAACACTCGGCTGAGCACCTTTTCCTAATGTGATAATGGGTACTGATGATTCACGTATTAAATAACCTATAATGAAAAATAGCTATAAATCTGAATAATATTCAATGAAAAACAAATAATGGGCAAATGATTATAAGTAAACATCTGACAGAGCACATCTCCTAAATTGGATAGGCTAACTGGTGAATAATATAAATGATGATCAATGTGAAAAATAAATAGAATCAGATTATTAAACACCTAGCTGAAAATTTTGCATACCAAAAGCATGCAGAAAAAAGGGTGCAAAAAAAAATCACTATGTGGGAAAAATTAGTCCCAATAAAGTCTATTGTGCAAAAGACACTCCTCAATAAATCAACCGGTGACCACCACTTGTGCTCCTCCGCCTGCTAGCATGCATGCTCACCTCCAAGGATGACCTATAAACTGTATACATCTCAAACGCTTGTGGTCAATACAGTTGGGTCCATATATATTTGGACACAGGCCTAATTTGCATTTTTTTCAGGTATTTACCAAAACATATCCTAGCTCTAGTTCTATAATGGATTTGGGTTGAAAGTGCACATTCTCGGGTGTAATATGAGGGTATGTGCATCCAAATTGGAGGAAGGGTTTAGGAACGACTACTCTTACAAGTAGTCATCCCCCCCCTTTTCAAGGGACCAAAAGTAAAATGGACAATTGAATCAAAAGCTGTTTCATGGCCAGGTGTGGGCTACTCCTTTATTTCTTCATTAATTAACCTCCCTAGCGGTCTGATTATGTCCATATTTCTGTGCTCCAAGCAGTACATTTTTTTTTGCATGGAAATATGTATTTTTTTTTATTGTAGGCCTGTAATTTTTAGGAATAACTCACTGAAATCTGTCCGAACCAGAGTCTGTAAACATCATGGGTAGGATTAAAATTTGAAACACGAAATCATAAATTATAATTTAATAAATAATCATAAAAAATAATATAATAAATGTAATTCAATAATATAATCAAACCAAAAACACTGAAATTTGAAATATAGCGCCAAGTTCGCACATCACTGAGCAAAGTCGCAAAATCGTTTTCAGTGTCTGACGAATTTCCCCACGAATCATTATCACTCAATTCTGCAAGTGGTTCTAATTTACTATCGCTGTTCTCTAGCTGGTCTAAAACTGATTTTGACCTAAAGGGACACTTTTTGGACGCCATGGACGTTTCTCAGTTTCCAGGCAATAAGAACAGTAAAAATGTAGGCAGGGCACAGTACAAAGCACTCGGGACAAAATGTATGTGAAATGGTTTCATACAGTATTGTTTTACTATGTGATTGTAGTGTATTTAGTGAATGTCACTTTTGGTCATTTTCAAATTCCCCGCCAGTTCCGTCCCCCTGTACATCCCGACGTCGCCGGGGGCGGAACCCAGATGAGATGCCGGCATCCGCCGGATTACATTGCAGGAGGGACATCCCGGGAGCGCAGGATAAGGTAAGTGAAGAACAGATGCCGGAGCAGCACCACATGGTAAGCCCGAGTGTAGCTCGGGGTTACCGCTTTTGGTACTGAAACTTTACCCCGAGCTACACTCGGGAATACCGTCAGGGAGGTTAAGCAGGTAAAAGGTCTGGTGTTGATTCTAAGTGTAGTACTTGCATTTGGAATCTATTGCTGTGAACCTACATCATGCGTTCTAAGGGGCTGTCCATGCAAGTGAAACAGGCCATTGTAAGGCTTCAAAAGCAAAACGAATCCATCAGAGAGATCGCAGGAACATTAGAAGTGGCCAAATCAACAGTTTGGTACATTCTGAGGAAAGAAGAATGTACTGGTGAGCTCAGCAACATAAAAAGGCATGGAAGTCCACAGAAGACAACAGTGGGGGATGATCGCAGGATCCTCTCTATGGTAAAGGAAAACCCATTCACAACATCCAGACCAGTGAAGGACACTTTCCAGGAGGTGGGCGTATCAATGTCAGTCTACAATCAAGAGAAGACTTCGCAAGAGCAAATACAGAGGGTTCACCACAAGGTGCAAACCATTCATAAGCCTGAAGAATAGAAAAGCTAGATTAGGCTTTGCCAAAAAACATCTGAAAAGCCAGACCAGTTCTGGAAAAGCATTCTTTGGATGGATGAAACTAATATTACTCTGTACCAGAATGGCTGGAAGAAAGTGTGGAGAAGGCTTGGAATAGCTCATGATCCAAAGCACACAACGTCATCTGTAAAACATGGTGGAGGCAGTGTGATGGCATGGGCATGCATGGCTTCCAGTGGCACTGGGTCATTGGTGTTTATTGATGATGTGACAGAAGACAGAAGCAGCCGGATGAATGCTGCAATGTTTAGAGATATACTGTCAGCCCAGATTCAGCTAAATGCAGCAAAGTTGATTGGACGGCGCTTCACAGTACAGATGGACAATGATCCAAAGCACACTGCAAAAGCAACCCAGGAGCGTTTGAAGGAAAAGTGGAATATTCTGCAATGGCCGAGTCAATCACCTGATCTCAACACAATTGAGCATGCATTTCACTTGCTGAAGGCAAAACTAAAAGCAGAAAGACCCACAAACAAAGAACTGAAGACAGCTGCAGTTAGACCCTGGCAAAGCATCAGAAAGGAGGAAACCCAGTCTTTGGTAAAGTCCATGGGTTCCAGACTTCAGGCAGACATTGTCAGTAAAGGATTCTCAACAAAATATTAAAAATGAACATTTTATTTATGATTATATTCATTTGTCCTATTACTTTTGGTCCCTTGAAAAAGGGGGGATGGCTACTCTTAAGAGCTGTAATTCCTAAACCCTTCCTCCAATTTGGACGTACGAACCCTCAAATTAAACCTGAGAGTGCACTTTCAGCTTATATTCGTTATATAACTATATCTTGAATATGTTTTGGTAAATACCTGAAAAAATCTAAAATTGTGCTTGTGTCCAAATATATATGGACCTAACTGTAAATTTCAAAGCAGCTCTCCTGGGGTTTCCTAATCTGCAGTCCCCCCCAAAGCCCAAAGGACTCCAAAGGATAATGGCAATCACTAAACGGACTCCTCTCCAATGGTCTATTCACAAGGGGATAAATCGCAAAAGGCTTCCCATAGTGGCAGTCAGCAGTTTTCTATTTCACTTTTTGATTTGGAATTGATGGTTAGTATTTTGGCTATTGGTCTCTCACTATAGATTGAGTAGCACAGCATCATTCTTTGTTTTATTTAGTTTGTGGGTATGCAGTTAGGTGCCTGCTGCAACTCCTCTAGCTTTGATGGCTTGCTCACTTCTGAGCCCTGCTCCATGCATCCATAAGACACACAGAGCCACAACTCGGTCCCGCCCCCACCCTCTCATTGGCTGTGGTTGACAGGAGTGTGAGCCAGTGCCTTCCGCTGCTATTTCAACCAATAGGGAGAGGGAGACCCCAGATAGCCAATGCTCCGATGCACACAGGGGAGCAGCACACAGGTTTTTTTTTTTTACCTTCAGCCTTTACAACCATTTTAATATTTTTTTTTTTTTAACAATGATTTATAGAATGCCATTGCTGCGTAGACCTGAGCACGATCGGTAAAACAAAGCATTCCATGTATATTCAGATGACTTGCCAAAACATATGGACCTTATTTGCAAAGTTTAAAATGTGTTTTTATTGTTGGTTAAGACATATGAAAAAAAGACAGGGTGCATGTTTAGTGTAATGCCTTTAAATAGTTAACTTTCTGACACCTGCTCAGCATTCCCTATGCAGACATCTGGCTGATATGAGCAATGCAACTAGAGTATGTTAATTCAGCTATTTAAAATGTAGATTAACTTGTTTCTGTTTTTTCTTCCAAGCTTCAACAGTCTGAGGATGCAGTGAGGTTTACTATTAACTGGGATAAGATCCAGTGCCTTCCAGATGTGGGCCCTGCATTCCTGTGTAGTGTTCTTCAACAACATATATCTGATCTGCAGGTAAGTAGTTTTATATAAAATTGTGTAGTATGTTCAATACCATAGAAAATCGCAAATGCTGTTTTAATGTTGTGGAGTTTATTTATAGAGGAATGGCAGCAAATTCATTGTTGTCCAACAATAAAAGCATGCCTTCATTGCCACTCTGTAATGTTCATTTTGTAAGATAAATTGCACCATAAAGAGTTTTATAATTACTTATTGGGGGCTCCCTTTGTTTTGTAATCTTGCCCAGGACAAGTCCTTTGTGATGCCAGAATTAAGTCTCGATGACTTGTGACTCTGCCATTTTGTACTGCTCTATATACGTTCTCTCTAAGTTCTGCATGAATGTAGCATGACATATTTGGATGCAATGAAATTCTTAAGCATCTATTTGAAAGCATGGTTAGAAGCAAAGTAAGATGGTAATTTGTTAGGCTGAAACAGGTATGTCGTGAAACGGTAAAATATCCCTAACTGCCTATAAACATTGTGAAAAATACTTTTTAAGGTTGTGGGAGGGGTCCCTTTACAGAGAATGACAACATAAAAAATCTCGCTCCTTGAGGCCTAACTCAACACTAGAACTTCTTTTACTAATGGAACAATATTTTTCTGTTAGGAAAGGCAAGTAAAGTAATGAATTATGGGCATCCCTGGGTGCTTGACACCTCCACAAGTGTGTCCATATCTTCTGGCGAAGCTCCAAAACCCAAGGGATTCCTTCTGTAGTCTATACTTGTCTCTATCCAAAGCAATGAGTGTAATTTCTCTGTGCTGCCTCATTCCTCTGCTCTGTGCACGAGTCATGTCTGACAGGTTTTCCGGACACCAAGAGTTAAAAAGGTGATGGACAGGAAGCTCCAGCACACAGCCTGTGATTCATATACTTAGCTCTGCATTTTTTCTGTGTGCTTTGTGGAGGGGGTTGTGTCCCTTCCCTCCAATCATCTCTCAGATCTGTTCTTGCAGTGTGTAACTTGAGATCCCCGCCCTCTGTCACTGGAGCTGAGAAAAAATCATGTGACCAGTGTTTTTATAACAATTTACAGGGCAAATGTCTGCAGAAAATCAGGTACATTATATAGAGATTTTGTCTCATCTGTGTATTACCTGAGGTTTGTCACTTCGTTGGGTATCTGAGTTTTCAACCACTTTAATGAGCTGACTTGATTCTATTGGTTATTGATCATGATGGGTGGGCAGGTTGCTCATTTTGTATGAGCATTTTACTAATTTGTAGAACTATTTAGTAAATAAGGATTACATTTGACGTAAAGAAAAGCAAATGGCTTATACAGTAGATATCTTATTTATTTAACAATACATTGCAAGTCCCACCATGTACTGGAGCCTTAAAAGTTTACTCAGCACTGAAAATATATGCCATATCCTGAGATTGCTTTTCACCACAAACATTTTTTTATGTACACAGTAGATTCAGCTTGCTTATATGCAAACATTATGCCCTGTAAAAGCCACAGCCTTCACGTCACACTATAGAAAAAGTCAGCACCATTAGTTCAACTGTTTTCCATATCTATGAACTCTAGTTTTGTCTTTTGTTTTTTTGAGGACCTGGCAATCCAACTGAACAGCAGGATTATGAAATCCACTGTGTACCCTTGCAGAATTGCTTGGTTCTCTTTAAATCCTGCCTGAGGTGGGTGGGGGGGGGGGGGGGAGGAATTATTTATTGGTATGCAGTCTGCCAATGAGGCTGAATTCAATAAAGGTAAATCAGCATGTCTCCAGCCCAGTGGAGCTACAATTGTTCAGCTTCCCTGTAGATCACCTCAAAATCTCAGAAATTGTATGTATACTGCCTGATACCTCCTTTGTTTTGAATGTGCTATGCATGATGGAAAGGACATATAATTGTGGGATTGATTTGGACTATACATGTTGTAGAAGCAGTGCTTTGAAGCTCAAACTTTGTAAGGCCGTGTCAAAAGTAGTCTTCCTGATACCTCCTTTCCCAGTTAGAGTTTCAGAGCGGCAATGTGGTGCTAGGCAAGCTGCCCACTAAAGACTCAGTGGAGTAAAAATGGGTAAATATTTTAGTTGGTGGTGGGCTTTACTTTGGAGCCAATAAATGTAACTACACCAAAAGTACAGTTAGACTTTAATCTCCACCTTTTAGCAACATGTTGCTAAAAGGGTGTAACTTGTTACACCCGTATTCAGGGTGTAACATGTTGCTAAGCACATCGGCCCTCACCCCCTGAAACACAATTCCCCCGGTGACTAATAATTGCACTTGCAGTGCATTGCCATCTCCTGCTGCTTCTACTGCGGGCGGGCAGCATGTATAGGCACAGCGACAAACTGGTAGGTCGCTCTAGTTGTACGAACAAAGGAAGACGCAATGGAATGCGGATCCCAGTAACTGGGACCTGGTGATCATGTGATCACAATGTTAACAACTGTTATGACCGTTAAAAGCAAGCATTGCATTGCAGATGCAATAATATTTAATGAAAAAAAAAAAATCCCTGATCACTCCCCCAGAGTGGTACAGTGTTACTATGGTAACATTGAACTACTCTGATGAAAGTATTTATTTTAATATATAATATTGTTAAAAAAAAAATTCTCTATTTTGATTTTTCTTTTTAACCATTTCAATACTGTGCAATTTTACACCTTCCTGCCCAGGCCATTTTTCATGTTTCAGCACTCTCACACTTTGAATGACAATTGCGCGGTCATACAACACTGTACCCAAACTAAAATTTTATCATTTTCTTCACACAACTAGAGCTTTCTTTTGGTGGTATTTAATCACCGCTGGGGTTTTTATTTTTTTGCTAAATTAACAAAAAAAGACCAAAAATTTTGAAAAAAAACCCACATTTTTCTTTGTTTCTGTTATAAAAGTTTACAAATAAATAATTGTTCTTCATAAATTTAGGCCGAGATGTATTCTGCTACATGTCTTTGGTGAAAATAACCCAAATTAGGATGTATTTTTTTAGTTTGTAGGAAAGTTAGAGTTCACAAACTATGGTATAGATCTGAATATTGATCAATCCTGAAGTACTGACAGCCAATCTAATTTCTTGAGGTCCAAGAATGTCAGAACAGTACAGATATCCCACAAATGACCCCTTTTTGCAGAGTAGACAGTCCGACGTACTTCATAAGAGGCATGGCGAGTTTTTTGAAGTTGTATTTTTATGTCATAATTTTTCGGAAAATGAAAAAATTAAAAAAATTATTTTCACTATTTTTTTTTTTTTTTTACATACTGTCACCAGTGCAGTACAGCGTCATCATAAAACTATTTTACTATGACCAAAGTAGTACAATGTTACCATAGTAACACTGTACTACTTTGGGGAAGTGATCCATTTTTTTTTTTTTTTTTTTTTTTTTTGTGCTTAGCTGTGATTTGGTCACAGCTAATCACATGACATGTGCATGTGATTAGCTGTGACCATTCACAGCTAGGCACTAGTATACAATGGATGGCATCATGAATGAAGCCATCCATTGTATAAAACTGTCATGTGACCTGCTGTGATTGGTCACAGCAGGTCACATGGTACCAGCAACGGGAGCCGGTACTCTGATCTGTCATCGGCCGTGTCCGAGGTGCACGGCCCGTGACAGATCCCGCTGCTGCGCTGCTCTGCATTACCGCAAACGGTAATGCACCCGGAATGAAGAGGCACATCTGAAGCCGCCAAACTGCCATTGGCCGGGCGGCTAATGGTTAATCTACTTGCCCGCCTGCAGTGTGTGGGTGAGTGGTAGCTCTGGGCAAAGCGATGCACAATTATGTCATGATCTGTTTCCGGGTGTGAGCACACATGTGCGTGTACCACCCCCCCAAACCTCCTGTGTGAGTGATAACACTCTCATGAAAAAAAAATACACTACATACAGTATCTCACAGAAGTGAGTACACCCCTTACATTTTTTGTAAATATTTAGTTATATCTTTTCATGTGACAACACTGAAAAAATGACACTTTGCTACAATGTACAGCTTGTATAACAGTGCAAATTTGCTGTCCCCTCAAAATAACTCAACACACAGCCATTAATGTCAAAACTGCTGGCAACAAAAGTGAGTACACCCCTAAGTGAAAATGTCCAAATTGGGGCCCAGTTAGCCATTTTTCCCTCCCTGGTGTCATGTGACTCCTTAGTGTTACAAGGTCTCAAGTGTGAATGGGGAGCAGGTGTGTTACACTTGGTGTTATCGCTTTCACTCTCTCATACTGGTCACTGAAAGTTCAACATGGCACCTCATGGCAAAGAACTCTCTGAGGATCTGAAAAAAAAGAATTGTTGCTCTACATAAAGATGGCCTAGGCCAGTGATGGCGAACCTTTTTGAGCCCGAGTGCCCAAACTGCAACCCAAAACCAACTTATTTCTTTCAAAGTGCCAACACTGCAATGAAACCTGAATATCGAGCTTTTGGTTTAGAAAAAACAACTCGTACAGTAGTGCAAACTAATTAACAGTACAGGAGATGACCAGAGACTGCGGACACAGTACAGGAGATGACCAGAGACTGCGGACACAGTACAGGAGATGACCAGAGACTGCGGACACAGTACAGGGATGACTGCTGACCTTTGGGGAGGGAGGGGGAGCGGGTACCTGAATTTGACAGGTACCCGCTCTTACTTCCGCAGAGTTTTTTTTTTATCTTACCTGTTCCTTTATCCAGCCGCGCGCTGTCTTCCCGGCTTCTGTAGTGTGGGCGCTCGTCGGACAGCCGGATGCCCAGTGCGCATGCGCGAGAAGCGCTGCGCTTTGTGATTGGTCCGGCGGCTTCTGGGATCTGTCATGTGTCCCAGGTACCGCCTTACCATTCACAAAGAGCACTGCTTCTTGTGCATGCGCACTTGGGACCCGGCTGTCACGCACACTACAGCCGGGAAGACAGCGCGCCGCTGGATTCTCCTGGCGTGCCCACAGATAAGGCTTGGCGTGCCGGCTGTGGCACGCGTGCCACGGGTTCGCCATCACTGGCCTAGGCTATAAGAAGATTGCCAAGAC